ACCGAGAAGCTGACAGGAGGCTTCTATCTCAGACTGTCGCCACCATCGAGCGAGTGAGTGTGATCCTCATGCACAGAAAGACTCCAAGTAAGCGTGACCGAGAGCCAACCGCAATCGCAAACCTGCCTCATCAACAGAACAGCAGCGCATAGGCTGGTGCACCCACCAGCTCTCCAAAGCGCAGCTGCATAATGGACAATTCGAGACGTGAGAGAGTTTACGTACGCTGATAACACGAGGGCAACGGCGATCAAGACAGACATCAAAATCAATGTGGCCGCCGTACGCCCACATATCGATCGGCAGCTTCTGGAGCCAAACATGGCCGATTCACCGAAGGTGAGCCGGTCCTGTGCGAGAGAAGACCTTGCGGTGGATTGGTTTGGTCTGGCCTAGAGCGGATGCTTTCATATTTGATGGGAAAACGGTCTGGACTTCAGTTCAGTACGGTCTGCGGGCTTCCGCATGGCTCGACCGCAGCGGTTCACCCACGGTGGATGAACCGTTCGGACCTTGTCCCACACGAACCGCTCAGACGGCCGGCGACGGCGGTCGGACAACATGGTGAGCCGCATTATTTCTGGAAAATATTCACATATGCATTTCCTCCCTTTCCCAGGCTCATCTGGAGGGACTTCTTGTCTCCAGATGCACATAAGGCTTCGCCTCCCGTCCTCCCACTCCCCACGAACTCCCCCGTCCCTGCCAACCGTCAACGCGCATTCCGGCTGGCCTTGCTCTTTTCACCGGACCTTCGTTCTCTTGACTGCTCAACCACGACTCACCTCGACCGTGGAACTCTAAAACTCGAAGGCATGGTCAGACCGAATAGGAGATAAGTACACATAGATCGATGAGCGTGTGTGCGGGGAATTGACCCACCCGTTGTGCAGGAGCGAAATGTCAAAAGCCGCTCACGGGCATCGCCGCGTGCAAGTCGAACGCGTCCAAAGCGCGTCAACTGCCGCCGTTCATGTTGGCAAAGTCACGCGTGCACACCGACGGAGAGCCCATCGTTCTCGCACGTTCGTGGTATGCGTTCCCGCTTTTTGTCTGTCATCGCGCGTCGCCTCGGGCCCTCATCTTCTGTTTGGACAATGACCAAGGTGCAAGAGTCCACGAACTTCGCGTTCGGACCGTCTCCCTCCATGTCAGGCTCAAGACCGTGCTGCTGTCAAGTCAACGTGAGCACGTTCCAGATTATAGCATCGGATTGCCACTCACCGCCCATGTCAAGCAGCACCTCAACAGATCAAGCCCGCGGTCAATACCGAACACATTGCGCTCGATGCGCGGCATTGAAGGACATGGTAAGTCTTGGATGGGCTATGTCAGACCTCGCACAGCGGTTAACGCGGTGACCCACAGCAACCTAGAGCGAACGCCATGGGATACGGCCATCACAGCCCACCTCGGACCTCTATACCACACGCCGAACGCGAGACGCTCCCTTAGATTGACCTCACCATCCGTGGCAAGTCACGGTCAACCTCTATGGCCTGCGAGTACACCATCGCAGCCTCTTATCGTTCGAACATTGCTTGACGTGCACCGAAATCGGTCAGGATGCAATGGAATGGCATCATACGCGCGTATGTTAGGGATGGTGAGATGTGATCACCGACCGGTCGCGAGACGATGGAGAATGTATGGCGGGACGCGACGGCTCATAGCCGCAAGCTCTCTCGTGCAGGCGACAGTCCTGCACATGTTCTGGCGAAGGAGACTGCGAGAAACCACGGCTTGGGCAAAAGGTACGTCAGCTTGCCTTGTCTCTCGCGCACTTCAAGTTTGCCAATCACGCTGTTCGCAGAATCGTGATTGCCATGGTCGTGATCACTGCCCTATGCCATGCTCCGCAGTCCAAAACCACGAACAGAAGGATGGCGACAAGAGCACAAGGGCCTATCCAGCCCGAGCGTCATGCGGTTGAGCACGAACGATGACCACCGGTCTTGGCCGTCTCTCGCAGCGCACCTCGTCAATTACAGTATCCACGTAGCCAACACCTCGCCTGCGTCTCGATACGCTCCGG